TTCTTTCTTTTCTAGAAGAAACTTTAGAAGCCCTAATCCACAGTATGAAGTCTTCCAAACATAATAAAAAACCTACAACCAGAAGAGAACAAAATAGAAGAATGGGACCTTCTAAGAATCCCTATGCACATCAAAAAAATTCCTCCAACAGGGTAAAAAGGAAACCCATACACTAGGAAAAAATATTTCATATTGACATATCTGATAAGGGACTCTTAGCTAAAATTTCTAGGATATTCCAGCACCTCAACAAGAAAAAGGTAAAACAACCACCCAACCCAATCACAAAATGGGCACAGGATATGAATAGACACTTCACCAAAGAAGACATTCAGATGACAAAAATACATGAAGAAATGTTCAAAACCCCTAGCTCTCAGAGAGATGCAGATCAAAACAACTATGAGATATCATCTCATCCCAGCAACAATAGCAGAGTTCAGCAGAGTAGCAAACAACAAATACTGGCAGGGTTGTGGAGATGTTGGAACCCTTATTCACTGCTGGTGGGAATGTAAAATCGTGTGACCACTATGGAAGGTGGTCTGGTACTCTTTCAAAATGTTGGAAATAGAAGTACCATTTGACCCAACTATTCTACCTTTGGGGATAAAAAAGAAACCAGAGCGACCATCCAAACAGATATGTGCACACCCATGTTCATTGCTGGGTTATCCACAATAGCAAAACCGTAGTTTTAAGGAAACTATTTAGAGGATTTGATGATAGTCTAAATTAAGGAAATAAAGACACAAGTTAGGAAGTATGTTGAGAATAATGTAAAAATTCAGCTAGCTGTATGTTAGACCTATTGATTCTTTCCTCCATGACATGTAACATGTCTGTTATATTTTCTATCTTTCTATTCTATAATCTTAGTAGTTCATTATTTCAGCCTACTCCTTTTTTAGCTATAGTTTCATTGCTATATAATTGGTTTGATGTTTTTTAATTTTTATTTTATTATTTGTGTGTGTGTGTGTACCATCAAATCAGATCTGACTGGTACAGGAGGAGATTGTCCCTCCTTCCCTGGCAGAGCATCTGGTGGATTTGAACCTTGAGCCTCTGGGATTGCAGTGCAGCTTCTCACCACTGGGCCACCAGAGCTCCCCTTGGTTTGATTTTTTTAGTTGTAAAATTCACTATATCTAAAACCAAACCCACTGCTGTTAATTCTAACTGATAGTAACCCTATAGGACAGAGTAGAATGACTCCATACAGTTTCCAAGTCTGTTAATCTTATGGAAGCAGACTGTCACATCTTTTTTCCTGTGTGGTGGCTTCTCAACTTTTCAGTTTGCAGCCAAGCATTTTATCTACTGTAACACTCAGGCTCCTTAAAATATACTGTATATAAAAAATAGTTTGTAAAATATATACACAGGTTATAAAACAATAAAATAATTTGTCTTTTTAACCCCAGTTAATTACAAAATCTACTATTTTTTTTATTTATTATATTTTTAACTTCTGTAAGTTCTATATGAGTAAATGTTTTCCAAATCTGCTTGCAAAGCAAGCAGATAAATAAATTTATTATAATTCTGAAGGTCAATTTGAAATGGGTCTTACATGCCATTTTATCTTTTTCTGACTTTGACCTTTCAACTCCCCTTTTAAAATTTTTTATTGTAATAAAAATGTATCACAAACTAGGGGAGCTCTGGTGGCCTAGTGGCAAGGAGCTGCAACTACAATCCCAGAGGCGCATGGTTCGAATCCACCAGATGCTCTGCCAGGGAAGGAGGGACAATCTCCTCCTGTACCAGTCAGATCTGATTTGACGGTACACACACAAAAATAAGAAAATATAAAAATTTAAAAATACCACAAACCATTTACTTGATTTTCCTATTTAATTCAGTGACATTGATTATGTTGATCATTCATAATATGCAAAGATAACCACTATTAACATCAAATGATTTCACAACTATTTGCAGAAGTTCAATGTCACTTAAGCTAAAATTCTAGGTTTCCCCTCCCTTCCACTCTTGATTACCACTAATAAACTTTTGGCTCTATACGTTTGCTTATTTCATACAAGTGAGATCATATAGTATTTGTCTTTCCGTGACT